TTTTTGTTTCGTCTTTTTGGTAGAATATTTTGGAAACCTTAGTACCATTTTTCTACTTCTAGTCTCTCATACTATGCAATTTTTGAAGTATGGCTCTTAAACTGCTTTAATATTTCCCACAAAGTCATACCCAAATGTATGGAAAATAGACAAAAATCCTTAGCATAAATATGCTGAGCCCAAGAAAAATGACCACATGGCCAACAGGCACATGAAAAGATGCTCACATTGCTAATCATCAGGGAAATGCAAATCAAATCCACAATGAGGTATCACCTCAAAAGACAGGAAATAACAAGTGTTGGTGAGGAAGTGAAGAAAAGGGAACCCTCCTACACTGTTAGAGGGAGTGTTAATTAATGCAGCCACTGTGTAAAGCAGTATGGAGGTTCCTCAAAAAACTAAAAGAAATACCATACAACCAAGTAATTCCACTTCTAGAAGTTACCCAAAAAAAACAAAATCCCTGATTCAAAAATATATATGCACCCCTATGTTCATTGCCGTATTATTTGCAAAAGCCAAGATAGGGAAGTAACCCAAGTGTCCATCAATAGATAAATGGATAAAGAAGAGGTGGTACATATATATAGTGGAATGTTATTTGGCCATGAAAAAGGAATCCTGCCATTTGTGACAACATGGATGGACCTAGAGGGTATTATGAAAGAAAAATACCATATGATTTCACTTACTTGTAGAATGTAAAAAAAAAAACAGAACAAAATGAACAAAATAGCAGTATTCTCATAGACACTGAAAAGTGATGGGTGGTTACCATGGGGGAGGGGTGTAAGATAAAAGGGCATACAAATTGGTCACAGGGATAGTAGTACAGCATGGAGAATATAGCTAGTGATTCTGCAGTACCTTTCTATGTTGACAGATAGTAACTGCACTAGTGGGGGTGAGGATTTAAATATGTGTAACTGTTAAATCACTGTGTTGTATATTTGAAACCAATATAAGATTGTATATCAACTACACTTCAATTAAAGAGAACGATTCTTATAAAAAATGACCACAGCCTTCCTAATAAACATGTATTTCCATGAACGCATGTGGCATATACCTATGCCTTCTTGCTTAGTAACAACTTCAGAAAACTTTTTCTTATTTACGATCTACTCCTTCCCTCCCAGATCTTGACAGTTGTTTTGTTAACATATATGATCACAATTGATCCTTAAGCAACACTGTTTTGATCTGCTTGGGGCCACTTACACACAAATTTTTTTCAATAAATATATAATATCTGTAATTGGATGTGAGGCAACAGAGCCACAGGTGATGTGGTCAATAGAAATGGAAAAGAAAAAATGTATGTAGTAGCCTACAAGCATCAAATCCTAAACCTTGGCTTTGTTAGCACCTTGCTCCAACCTACACAGATAACCAGCTGTTATCTGAACCAGACAGAAGTCCTGGGATCTGAGAGGAGCAGAGGACCTGAGGCCCAGATCCAATAACACAGAGGAAGGAGGCTGGAAACCTTTGCCCTTTGGAAGTGTGCCCCTCCCAACCCAGGCCCTGTCTACCTTAATGAAGGTGTCAACTCTGGCAGGGACAGGTAGAGCAGCTAATTCACCCTCTGTTTGCTTTCTTTACTCTGTTGGACCCTAAAACCCTCCCATGGCTTTTCTACTTTTCTATTCTGTTACATCTGAAGTTAATGGACCCATTTTATATACAGGAAGCTTCTAGTAGTTAGTTTTGGGGAGTCAAAAGTTATATGTGGATTTTTGACTGCATGGGGGTCAGTGTCTCTAACCCCCATGTTCAAGGGTCAGTACAGATTGCCACCATTTCTTGTTTTTGTGTACAACATAACATAGAGCTATAGTAAATCATTGTTATATTAGAGTATATGACAGAAATATTTCTTTCACAGTTCTCCTAACCTCATATGCTTTAGCATACTATGTATAATATTTTCTCTAGCCGATTTTATTGTCTTTTATTCATCATAGGTGAACAGTTCTTTCACCAAGAGATGTCTAATTGTGAATTTTACTGAATTTGAATCAGGACTCATTGTGTCCTCTGAATCTGTAGTTTCCTATATTTTATCAGTTCTGGAGAATTCTCAGCCATTATCTCTTTAATTTTGCCCCTTTTCCTTTTGTTCTCATTCTGGAATGCCAGTTAAAACTGTCAGACTTGTTCCCCCCATGACTCTTTACTTCTCTTTTGAACTGTTCATTTTAAAATTTACTGTAGTATATTCTTGGAATTTTCCTAAACCTATATTCTAGTTTACTAACTTTGAAAAGTTAGCACTATATATCAGCTATCTAAAATGCTATTTATCTATCAATTACCCATTTAATATTAGTAACTATATTTTTCATTTCTGGAAGGTCTGTTTGGTTTTTTGCCTTTTTTGATAGTACCTTGGATTTTTTTTCCTCAATTTTCATTCTATCCTATATGTCTTTAATAATTTTATATGTTTATTGTCCATATGTGGTAGTTCCATTTTCAAAAGTTCTTGATAATAAATTTGTTAATGGGGTTGAATTTTCCTCTTGCTAATAAAGAGTAATTTGAGAGTGAAAGTATATAAAATAAGCTGTTGTAGAACATATCTTCAGTGGTCCTTGTCCCTGAGAATCATTTTTCTTGGTTTGAGCACAAGTTTTTCCAGAGAGGTTTTGCATTTGTTTCTCACAGATGCCCCAGGTTATCAAAGGTCTAATGCCACTTTTATGTAAATAACTAAGAATGGGTATTCTTGGGCCAACATGGTAATATGAATTACAGCTACCAAACGCAGGGGATTTCCCATTATTTTTAATTTTCCAGGGAGGTCTGTTTTTGTAACAACAAAATTTCTTGGCAAAACATGCAAACTTCCTCATTCTTCCCGATTTCTAATAGAAAAATGTTTTACTAGTGTTTTAAGGACCTCAGATCTAGGTAGACAGCTCATTTCCAAATCCTTGCCTATCAGATTTAAGAATTAGATGTCACACTATGGCTATTAAAAATTTATTCCCTTGGTTTACTGTGAGTGGCTAAGACACTGAAATCATTAACACTGTCATTTAATACTTTGGGTTTTACTTGCCTCTTTTGTTACTTTAAACCCTAAACTCTTATCTAGTAAAATATTGGCAGAATTTAATTATTTTTATAGTTATTTCTTTAGTGTTTTTTTTTCTTTTGAATTCATCCTTGAAAATATTTGAACCTACAAAAATATTTTAATGATTTAAAAATGTCCTTAGCCCATACACTTACCAAAGATAACACAAAATAAAAGTTACTCCTATATACCAAAAACATTATAATTTTATAGAACTGGCTTAAATTTTTTTCTGAAGCCATAGACCTTTCACATTTCATGTTACTGATTTAATTCATGATATAATGGGGAGAAATTATGATATGGACAAGTACTTACCCCCTCTACCTCCCACTGGGTGTTTTAGCTAATGTTTGCTCTTATTTGGTTCCCTGCCATCTTTTCCATTTTAAGGTATTTTTAATACATCATATATTTTAGTATGCCCCTATGAGAGCACATCACATGTTCCTCAGACTGGCCATTTTGTGGAATTTGAGCTATTAGGCTATAATTATGGTGTCTCTCAGGATCTCAACCTTTTTCCTCTGTATTCACATATTTTAATACTTCTTCCTGTTACCCTCCAGACACCAGATCTCTTAATTCTTTAAAATTGACTTTCTTGAAATCCAATACTTATGTGTCACAGAACCAGATGATCCAATTTGCTTCTTTGGCAGACAACATATAAAGCTCTGCCCAATGCAAGGTTCAACAAAAGATACTAATATTCTCTAGACTGCTCTGGTAGAAAGCTATGTAGAAAGACTTGAATTTTATGTTTTTTTGTGTGTGTGGTATAACTCATGCTAGTTTCCTGATCTTAACTTATCATTTTATAATATAAGAGAATAAAAGGGAAATATTCATAAGGAATATTTTTGGTTCCAAGGAACTTCTGAGGTACAGCTTGCTAGTAAAATATAGAATTATATTATTTCATAAAATGAAATCTTAATATATGGATGGTAGACTTAAAGATCTGCACTAGCAAAAGCTTTGGAGCAATTTTGACTCTCATTCTGTGCTGCACTGGCTCAAGCAACGTTTTCCAATTTCATCTTCTATCGTGTATGCAATACTTCCTTTGAAATTTATAGCAGTTAGTGATATTGAATATAGAGTAGAAATTTTGTACTAAATAACTGATTAAAGGTGAGAATGTATAAAGAAGAAATAAAATAGAGGCCTGATGATGGTCTGATGGCAATTTGCTCTTCAGGCCTGGTTGTGGAACCTTTGTTCCTGCTGGATGACCTTCGTCCAGCCCCTGAACCTCATTTTCTCACAGGTAATGTGAGGTAGTTATGGTCTTTACTTCACATACAGGGATTTTATGAAGAAGGATTCAGTATCAAAGTCACAAAAGCTGTTTCATGAAGTATATATGCAGTAATAATCCATAAACTCGGATGGTTCTTAGAACATTAAAAAAAAAGATCAATGTTGCTCGTGTGACACCTTCAAAAGATTGTATATCAATGATACCTGAATAAAGAAAAAAGATAGAAGATGAACAGGATATGGTTGTAAACTTAACAACAATTGGAAAGAAAACAATTGTCAACCACAAGGTCAGAAATATTAAAAAGAGGAAATTAAATATTATTACAACATAGATTATTACTGGTAACAAAAGACATACTAAGGTATTTGCAAGAATAAAGGAAAGAAAAAGGTTAAGTCTCCTGGGATGCCACTAATATGAAATTAATTACATATGAATCACTCCATGATTTTTTTGCTGTCTTTTATAAATCTGAAGTTAAAAACAGAAGTTAGCAAAAAAAGACAAATATACAAATAGACACTCTCAAAATAATAATGTAATTTTGCCATACATGTTTGTAGTACAAAGACGTGTACAAATTTAATGAAAATTAACCTTGAAAAAAATGAAATGGCTAATAATTATTTCTTTATCATTTAGTATACAGCATCATCAAGAAAGAAGAGCAATTTTGACTCCCATTTTAACAGATTTTTCTGTCCGAATAACTGGAGCACCTGCCATCATTTTCGCCAGAGTAATTTCTCCAGAAAATATGCATACTGAGGTTAGAATTTAATTTAGGTTTCATTTTAATCTAAATAATGGAGCAGTTTCCCTTTGTATGCTTGGAGTTTTCATAGTTTTAGTGCATAGGATATCAAGTTAGCTTACTATTAATGAGTTATTTTTATAACTAATAATTATTGAGTACTTTCTAGTACTGTTGTTACTGCTTTTCACCTAATAGCTCATGTAATCCTCATAATAATTCTATTAGCCTCTCCTAGTATCTTCATTTTATAGATGAGGAAACTGAAGCACTGAGAAGCTAACCCAGATTTTCAGAGGTAGTAGTAGTAACAGAACATGTTATTAACCCAACTGGTCTGAATACAGGTGATGTGCTCCTCTTTCTAAGGAAAGCAACAGTAGTAGTGGCAGCTTGGAATTCTCACATGGATTATTCTACATAGAATTCTGCATGGATTACCTTACTTAGTCTTTGCGATATCTTTGAGATAGATGCTATTAATATCCATGCTTTATAGATGAGGAAACTGGTATCAAAAGTAACTTGACCAATATCACTAGCCAATTACTAGTAAATCTAGATTTCAAGTCTCATCACTATAGTATATGCCTCCATGCCTAGAATAGAAATGTAATAGTAATGTAATCCATCACAATTTAAAAATATTCTTCAGAGAAATTTATGTTTTGCTAAAACTTTATAAACTTTTTGATAACTCACAGAGTTACAGGCAATTTTTATGAAAAGTTCGGAAAAAATAGGTACAGATTAAATATGTTAATCCAAGCTCATGAAATTTATATTCCTTCTCTGAATTTTTTAAAATAATGTCCTTGTATATGTTATCTTAATTTATGTTTGTAACAGCCCCATAGGGAAAGTTAGATTAGGTGTGATCTCTTACATATCCACAAATGGTGTATAAAAATTAAATCTACTAATATCTTACAGTTACTTAGTAACACAATTGATTTATAATACATGATAATATTCCTTTCCATCATTATTTGAGGAATAAAAAAAGAATTCTAACTATAATGAGTAAATACAGGGAACTTGTGGAGGGGGGAAGGTTTTTTAACAGAAAACAAGAATAATCATTTCCGACAGGCTATTCTTTATGGCTTTATTAAAAGCTTCTCTGAGCTGGTAATGAAGCAGTCATAAGTCTCCTTAAATCCATTCCCTTGGATTACACTAATAAAGAAAAGGTTTGTTGAGTGTTTCCAAGCATTTGAATGTTGTCCACATGCACTTCATGACAAGAGGCAGGACTTCTTCTTATTAAGTAAAGCTTCTGGATTGTTTTTCATTTCTGTTTTCCTTCTCAGAATGGTTTTCCAATGATGAATGTTCAAGTGACTCAGTTATTTAGAACAGCACCAGTTAAATAGTGGACATCTACCTAATGCTGCCAAGATTTTAGCAGTTTGAGGAAGAAGTGAAATTAATTAGTCTAGCTATCTTTGGCTGCAGCACTCTGTTTTGTTATAAATCTTTTGGAGAATGCTCAGACCATACCACTTGTGATTACGCCTGTCTACTTAGTTGCCTGTTTACATTTGTCTGCCCAACTAGATTGTAACCTCCTCAAGAGCAGGGTGCCCTTCGAGCCCAATCTTATTCTTTATGATATTCCTAGCACTCTAGTATAGTGTATGGTATATTTAGGAGATTACTTAGCTCAGTAAATATTTGTTGGTTGGAATTAATGAACAATTACTTCTTTGGATTATGCTAAAGAATTACATCATAACATACATTGAAATGATGATAATAATTTGAGGCATTAAAAAGTCAAATGTATATGAAATGATGAATAACTCTTATTGTTAGTTTGTTGCCCTATAACTAACACAGAGCTTGGCACATGGTAGACCCTCATAAATGTTTATTAAATTAATTCACTAAACCATGTTGAGTGACTGTACTCACCCATTTCTGCTATTCTCATTAACATATGAACTTGAGTCCCAGGAGAATTCATCAACATAGTAAAGGTCAAATAAGTAAGAATGATAAATTATCATCTAATGGCTATCATGTTTCTTTATTTGTATTCAACCTTTTTTTCTTTCAGGAGATTTTAGTGTGTGGCCATTCCTTAGAAGTGAATATAACCACAAACCTGGACTTCTTCCTAAGTGTGGCTCAAGTTCAACTCTTACATCAGTTAATAGTAGCAAATATGACTGGACTGGAACCGTCAAGCAAGGCCACAGAGGTAACTATTACCTGATCTTGATTAGGCCTACTGCATTTGTGCCAGCTTTACATTCACAGTAGGAAAACAATAATTAAATTAAATGCTTTCGGCTAATTATTCTATATTTAATTCTATTCAAATATGGCCATTATTTCAAGTCTCATCACTATAGTATATGCCTCCATGCCTAGAATAGAAATGTAATAGTAATGTAATCCATCACAACTTAAAAATATTCTTCAGAGAAATTTATGTTTTGCTAAAACTTTATAAACTTTTTGATAACTCACAGAGTTACAGGCAATTTTTATGAAAAGTTCGGAAAAAATAGGTACAGATTAAATATGTTAATCCAAGCTCATGAAATTTATATTCCTTCTCTGAATTTTTTAAAATAATGTCCTTGTATATGTTATCTTAATTTATGTTTGTAACAGCCCCATAGGGAAAGTTAGATTAGGTGTGATCTCTTACATATCCACAAATGGTGTATAAAAATTAAATCTACTAATATCTTACAGTTACTTAGTAACACAATTGATTTATAATACATGATAATATTCCTTTCCATCATTATTTGAGGAATAAAAAAAGAATTCTAACTATAATGAGTAAATACAGGGAACTTGTGGAGGGGGGAAGGTTTTTTAACAGAAAACAAGAATAATCATTTCCGACAGGCTATTCTTTATGGCTTTATTAAAAGCTTCTCTGAGCTGGTAATGAAGCAGTCATAAGTCTCCTTAAATCCATTCCCTTGGATTACACTAATAAAGAAAAGGTTTGTTGAGTGTTTCCAAGCATTTGAATGTTGTCCACATGCACTTCATGACAAGAGGCAGGACTTCTTCTTATTAAGTAAAGCTTCTGGATTGTTTTTCATTTCTGTTTTCCTTCTCAGAATGGTTTTCCAATGATGAATGTTCAAGTGACTCAGTTATTTAGAACAGCACCAGTTAAATAGTGGACATCTACCTAATGCTGCCAAGATTTTAGCAGTTTGAGGAAGAAGTGAAATTAATTAGTCTAGCTATCTTTGGCTGCAGCACTCTGTTTTGTTATAAATCTTTTGGAGAATGCTCAGACCATACCACTTGTGATTACGCCTGTCTACTTAGTTGCCTGTTTACATTTGTCTGCCCAACTAGATTGTAACCTCCTCAAGAGCAGGGTGCCCTTCGAGCCCAATCTTATTCTTTATGATATTCCTAGCACTCTAGTATAGTGTATGGTATATTTAGGAGATTACTTAGCTCAGTAAATATTTGTTGGTTGGAATTAATGAACAATTACTTCTTTGGATTATGCTAAAGAATTACATCATAACATACATTGAAATGATGATAATAATTTGAGGCATTAAAAAGTCAAATGTATATGAAATGATGAATAACTCTTATTGTTAGTTTGTTGCCCTATAACTAACACAGAGCTTGGCACATGGTAGACCCTCATAAATGTTTATTAAATTAATTCACTAAACCATGTTGAGTGACTGTACTCACCCATTACTGCTATTCTCATTAACATATGAACTTGAGTCCCAGGAGAATTCATCAACATAGTAAAGGTCAAATAAGTAAGAATGATAAATTATCATCTAATGGCTATCATGTTTCTTTATTTGTATTCAACCTTTTTTTCTTTCAGGAGATTTTAGTGTGTGGCCATTCCTTAGAAGTGAATATAACCACAAACCTGGACTTCTTCCTAAGTGTGGCTCAAGTTCAACTCTTACATCAGTTAATAGTAGCAAATATGACTGGACTGGAACCGTCAAGCAAGGCCACAGAGGTAACTATTACCTGATCTTGATTAGGCCTACTGCATTTGTGCCAGCTTTACATTCACAGTAGGAAAACAATAATTAAATTAAATGCTTTTGGCTAATTATTCTATATTTAATTCTATTCAAATATGGCCATAAATCATTTTGGATTGGTGTTCATTATTCTTGAAATTTGTTTGGTCTCTTTTCCTATAATTTATCGTGCACCTTTGTAAAATTGCTGTGGCCTAGCCTCAGAAAAGCCTCTGTTAAAAGTATAAGTCTATTAAACTACTGCAATTTTTAAAGCACAATGAAAGAAACCTGGTATAGCTTTCACTTACTTCAGTACATTACAGGGATAGGGCCTCTTTTGGAAATGAACTTTCTGTAAGAGTACTCTGGGAATATCTTCAATAAATAACTTAAAAAGAATTCATTTTTTATGCCCAGTGAAGAATGGACACAATCATAGAAGTTGAATGCCTGCCTGGAATTTTAATTTTGATCCAGTGTTCATTCGAAGCCTACACTGCAACCACAAAGCATGTCAGTGTGAAACAAAGAAAGCTGATTGTTAGATGCTTCCCAAGATATGATTTCTTTGCTTTTGGTTTCCATACATCTATAATAATATCTGTACTTACAGTAAATCTGTAAAAACTCAATTGAAGAAATCAGTTATCTATGAAAAAGACATAGCTTTTTATCTTGTCTCTGTATACTAAGAAGTAAGAGAAGGAGGAGGTATTCACTGACAACTACTTGATGCTAGGCAGTGTGCCAGGCATTTTTATGTAAGTTAACTCATATATGTTCAGGTATGTTTTCACAGCAACTCTGTGAGGTAGATAATGAGCATTATCACCATTTGAGATTTTGGGGCTTACAGATGGTACGTGACCTGCCTGAAATCATACACATGTGGCTAAAAAATGGTGAATCTGAAATTTTAACTTAAGTCTTTCAAGTCAGCACTCTTTCCATTCTGTCAGTTTGTATAGTATTGGTACATTACCTATCTTCTTTATTTTTAATAAATTATTTTAAACTGATAACACTTTTGTAAATGAACATTCTCTAACTAGGTCATCTACCACCCATGATATCTTTTATACAATATCTTTTTAAAAAGGACTATAGATATATGTAAGTCTCTAAAATACTGACTTTTTTCCAGTATATATTTAAGTTAGACAATCTATAAAAACATAATTACATGGCACAAAAATAAGCAGAGCAAAAAATATTTCCCCATGGCATTTTTAATTAAGGCCTTGAAGCAAGTTGTGTTGGAAATAATATTTTACATTCCTATACTATTTGTGCCAATTTATGACTCTCAAACATCAGTAAAATCTAACTCATAGATTTCTTATGTATTTTAGGAATTTATGCAACTTATCAAGCTGATTGTTAACTATAATGCCTGTTACTAGGATATGATTTCAGTAAACAGACACTCAGTTCAATCACTAACATCCCTAAGCTGAATGTTGAGTCGTCCCTCATATTTCCATAAATGAGTGAGGCATTGTTTGTGCTGTTTTAATAATTTGCCTGTGGATCTTTGTTCCTTCTTGTAGATGATATTAAAAGTACAGACATATACTGAAATACATTACAGACAATATGCTGAAAAATGGTAAAGATGGTAAATTTTATATGCATTTTACGATGATTTTT